CTGTGCAGATCCCAGCCCCATGACCCAGCCGGGGGAGATTTCCCTGTCAGTGCCCCCTGTGCAGATCCCAGCCCCATGACCCAGCCGGGGGAGATTTCCCTGTCAGTGCCCCCTGTGCAGATCCCAGCCCCATGACCCAGCCGGGGGAGATTTCCCTGTCAGTGCCCTCTGTTCAGACCCCAGCCCCATGACCCAGCTGGGGGAGATGTTCCTGTTGGTGCCCTCTGTGCAGATCCCAGCCCCATGACCCAGCCGGCAGAGATCTCCCTGCCGGTGCCCTCTGTGCAGATCCCAGCCCCATGACCCAGCCGGGGGAGATCTCCCTGTCGGTGCCCCCTGTGCAGATCCCAGTCTCACGAATCAAGCCCCCGAGCACCGCCCCGGCTCCTCCCTGCCTTGCCTTGTGCTCCTGGATCTGGGCGGTGACGGTGTCGAGGACGAAGCTGGGGGGTGCAGGGGACCCCAGCAGCTCCTCGGCGTGGGCCACCCAGCGCAGCAGCTCCTGGGCGGAGCCGTGGAACTCGGTGGTGACCGTGAGCCCCTCGGCCAGGCGCTCCTGCGGGGGGGACGGGCGCTGACGGGGGCGGGCACCCCCCGCCCCGGGGCCGAGGCCGGTCAGGGGGAGCCCCCCCGGGGTCGCAGCCCCCCGCCCCACACACCTTCCTCTCCTGCGCCTCGGCCTGGACGCTCTCCCACTTCTGCTCCAGGATCCGCAGGCTGTGCTCGGTGCTGCAGGGCCGCCCGGCACGGCACGACTCCAGCAGCCGCTGCAGCCGCTCCCGCAGCCCCCGGTACGGCACCGCCCGCGCCTCCAGCTCCCGGCACAGCTCCTGCCGGGCACACCGGGCACGCCGGGCACGCCGGGTCAGCGCCCGCCGCGGGGCCGGGGTGGGGACGGGGACAGGGAACAGGGAACGGGATGAGGAAGAGAACGGGGATTGGGATGAAGAGGGCGACGGGGATGAGGAAGGGGTCAGGGACAGTGAACAAGAGACGGGGACAGACTGGGATGGGGACAGGAACAGGGTCAGGGACAGGGAACAAAGACAGGGATGGCTCCTGCTCTGCCTCAGGGAGCTAGAGGAGAGTGGAGAGGGGTACCAGGCTCTGTCTGGTCAGGGAGAGGAGGCAGCAGAGAAGGGTCTTGGCCTCTCGGTGTGGTTTTGGGGGACACATCCCCCTGAGGGACCCCGGGGCCCGGCCCGGTGCTCACCAGGTGTGCGTTGAGCTTCTCTTTGGTGGCATCCGGGTGTCCCCAGACCGGCTTGGAGCAGAAGAGCTGCAGCTCCACCTGCTCCAGCCACTGCAGCAGCTCCGTGATCTCCAGGGTGATGTCCTGCACCTGGGGGCGAGGGGGGGCTCAGCGCCGGCCCGAGGGCCCGGCAGCGCCGCGGCCCCGCGCCCGTACCTGGCTGAGGTTGTTCTCCAGCTCCAGCTGCCGGCTCTCGGTCTCGCTGCGCACCAGGTCCCAGCGCTGGCCCAGCTGCTGGAGGCTGCGCTGCAGCCCCTCCACGCTCTCCCCCAGGCTGGACAGCAGCAGCCCCTGCCCGGCCTCGGTCACCGACTGCACCGTGCGGGCGTGGGACATCACGTCTGTCCGCAGCACCTGCACAGGGGCGGGGGGGTCACGGCTGGGACCGCAGCGGGGACACCCCACACCCCACCGGCTGTGCTGCACAAAGCCCCTCACTCTGAGTGCCCGGGACACCTCTGCCACCCGTGTCATCGCTGCCACCGTGGTGCTGGGGTCTGGGGGTGCCACGCAGAGGGAGGACAACACCCAGGGGTGCCCCTGACTCTTGCTCTCAGCAGGGCACGGGGCTGAGGCGCCAGATTTGCCGATTCGTGGCAGGGGGTTGGCCAGGACGGGCACAGAAGTGACACGGTACCCCCTGCACAGCCCTCTCCTGGTGTGGGGCCAGCCTGGCCCTCGCAGAGCCTCGCCTGCATCAGGCACGGCCCGAGCGTGCCCAGGCAAGGGGCCGCAGCACCGGGATGGCACAGAGACAGCTCATTCCTTCCATGGTGTCACTGTGGGAGGGGACAGTCCTCATGCCACAGCCTGCCCGGCCTGGCCACCACTGCAGCAGCCCAAGGAGGGGCTGGGCAGCGCCCTGCAGCCAGGACACACACCCCGGGGGTGGGACCATGGCCGGGATCCCCAGGACACACACCCTGGGGGCGGGACCATGGCCAGGATCCCCAGGACACACACCCTGGGGGCGGGACCATGGCCAGGATCCCCAGGACATACACCCTGGTGGGTGGGACCATGGCCAGGATCCCCAGGACACACACCCTGGGTGGGGTGGGACCATGGCCGGGATCCCCAGGACACACACCCTGGGGGCGGGACCATGGCCAGGACCCCCAGGACACACACCCTGGGGGTGGGACCATGGCCAGGACCCCCAGGACACACACCCTGGGGATGGGACCATGGCCAGGACCCCCAGGACACACACCCTGGGGACGGGACCATGGCCAGGATCCCCAGGACACACACCCTGGGGGCAGAACCACGGCCAGGACCCCCAGGACCCTCAGCAACGGCCCCGGTCTGGGTCCCCACAGAGGGGCTGTGCCACGCGTGCCCTGGGCCGCGGCGCAGCCTCACCTTGTGCTTGGCCAGCTCGATCTCGCAGCTCTGCAGGTCGGGGCTCAGGGGTGCGGGGCCGCTCAGCTGCTCCCCGGTGCGGCTCAGCCACTGCAGCAGCTCTGCCAGCTGGTGCTGGAACTGCCCCAGCCCCAGCAGCGCCGCCTCCAGCTGGTGCTGCCGAGGGGAAGAGGTGACACCGGGGGAGCGACGGCAGCCCCGGCCCCGTGCCCGGCACCCACATGGCCCTGTGCACCCACGCAGCACCCACTCAGTGCCCACACGGCCCCACACGCCCAGTGTGCCCGGTGGCATCCTGAGTGCCCACAAAGCTCCCGTGCACCCGCCCAGAACCCACACGGCCCCAACCACCCACCCAGCACCGTGAGCCCAGCGCCTGCATGGGCACCTGGCACCAGAGGACACCCTGTGTCCAGCGACTCCTCTGCCTCGTGCACCCTCCCAGCACCACACCCAGCACCAGCGTGGAACCCCCGTGAGCCCCCCCTGAACCCTCCAGCCCCCCACGGCACCTACCACACCCCCCCAGCCCCACACAGCCAGCTCCCTGCACCCCTGCACCCACCCAGCTCCCTCCCGTCACCCCCTGCACCCCCTGCCCCGTGCCCCCCACCTGTCTGCTGACGATCTCCTCCTCCAGGTGGTCCCAGCGCTGGCGGAAGTCACTGAGCGCAGCCGGGGGGTCCCCCTGCCCCGTGCCCCCCTGGTGCCGCAGGCTCTCCACGTCCACCTTGCACTGGTACAGCTCCCGCTTGAACTCCTGGGGGGCAGCACCGGTGGGTGACCCTGGCCCCACGCCCCCGGATGGGGTCTGCCTGGCACCAGGCACTGCACGGCACCACGTGGCACTGCATGGCACCACGTGGCACTGCATGGCACGGCACGGGCACCTGGGCACGGGGCTGCTCCTCGCAGGGAGCCGACACCCAACTTGCCCAGGGACCTTGTAGAGGGCAAGACTTGACCACCCAGCACCAACCATGGGGGCACCAGCACGGTCCAAGGTGCCACCCCTCCATTCCACTGCTGTCTAGAGCACCCCCCTGCCCCCCTCGCCCCCCGTCTGCCCCATCCAGCGGCACAGGATGGCTCAGCACGACATGGCACGACGTGGCACACCACGGCACGACATGGCACACCATGGCACGACATGGCACACCATGGCACCACGTGGCACACCACGGCACGACGTGGCACACCACGGCACGACATGGCACACCACGGCACGACATGGCACACCACAGCACGACGTGGCACACCACGGCACGACATGGCACACCACGGCACGACGTGGCACACCACGGCAAGACATGG